ACAAGCATGCTTTAGGGTTCATAATTCAAATCCAACCAATCAACCAATGAAATGTGTTAAAACTTACCCCCACAATAAAGGCATATGACCTTTCCATACAATACCCAAGCAATGGAGGATCAAACAACTCCAAGAACATCAAAATTGTTCACCAAAATCGCGGACATGGGTCCATGTTTTCTCCCAAATTAGTGAGTTTCGTGCCTTGAGACTACCACGATTGTGTTTAGATTGCAATTTACTTAAAGTTTGATGTAGTGGAACATTGATTTTGGTGGAGTTTAGTGGAGATGAAGTTTTCAAAAAAAAACTGGCACACACCAGGGGGGCGCGTTTTTGGAGAGAGGAGAGGTGAGGAAGAACATTAATAGTGCCTTGTGCACATGTGTCAAGTCATAACTTAAGTGGGGTGGGTCTCACTGCCACCTCACGCGATTCAAGTTAATTCAAATCTCCCGCCTAATCCACTAAATGTCTATTAATTCCCAGACCATTTAGAAACTCCAATTTTTAACATTCACCAAAGTCTTTTAATTTTCCTTGATCAGATGAATTCGAAGTTTTCCGGTCGTTCGGTGCAATCAAAATTTTAAGCTGTTATGTGCACTGTGGACACGCTTCCCCAAAAATCCTAATTTCAATCACTTTTCATCAGAAATTATAATTCCTAGTCCTATGTACCATTTACAACTTATTTCCAAATCTAGAGCTCAAAATTCATTCGGCACACTTTACGGTGCAACTGTACAGCTGTATTTTTACTCGGTAAAAGCAATATTCATCATTTTTCCAGAAACTTGCCTAACCACTCAATTTTTCGTTCTGAATCCATTTTCAGGGTTAGTTTTTCCATTTGAGACTTTCTACTCAAATTGCATTTCCTAGGGTTATGTGTTTGGCAATTTACTGTTTTATCTCTTTTACGTGTTTTGGTTCTAAATTCAGGATTTTCACTAATCCTACCATTTAATCCCATGCTTTAAATATAATTATGTGATTTAGAATCACTAGGTGTTATATTCACCCCTTCTTTTTGAAATTTTGTCCTCAAAATTAATTCATACTTGTCCGCTAACTCAGGATATAACCGAAGAATCTCATCCTCCCGCTCCCAAGTAGCCTCCTCAGGTGTGCGTCCTTCCCACTGAATCTTCAACATTGGAATTATTTTACTTCTCATCCTCTTTTCGTTACGGTCAAGTACTTCAATGGGACCAACAGGAGTCTTCAGGTTCTCTCGAATTTCAATATCATCCGGTATCAGCACATGTGATTCATCCGAAACATAACGCCGCAGCTGTGACACATGAAAAACATCGTGTAGGTTCGACAACTGCGGAGGTAAGGTAAGATGATAGGCCACTAATCCCACTCATTTCATAATCTGATACGGCCCAATCAACCAAGAACTCAGCTTCCTTACTCCCAATGCACGGCCAACACCCGTCACCGGAGATAACCGCACAAATACATGGTCTCCTTCTTCGAATTCAAGCAGTCTATGTTTATTGTCATAATAAATTTTCTGCTGATTCTATGCCTGTTTAAGTTTTTCTCTGATTATTTCAATCTGCATTATAGTCTCCTGCACAAAATTCGGACCAAATCTTTCTTTATCACCTACCTCAGTCCAACAAGTAGGAGTACGGCATCTCCGTCCATACAATGCCCCATACGGTGCCATGCCCAGACTGGAATGAAAACAATTATTATAAGAAAATTCCACCAATGACAAGTATTTGTCGCAAGCAATATCCTGCTACAGTGTGCAAGCTCTCAGCATATCCTCAAGTGTCTGTATGGTCCTCTCAGTTTGACCATCAGTCTGCGGGTAATACGCAGTGCTCAGCCTAAGCTAAGTGCCAAAAGCCTGCTGCAAAGCTCCCCAAAAGCGTAAAGTAAACTTCGGGTCCTGATCACTTACAATACTAACCGGAATCCCATGGAGCCTTACAATCTCATTCACATAAAGTTTTGCTAGTCTCTCGGTAGAGAAATCCACCCGCACTGGCAGAAAATGTGCAGACTTCGTAAGTCTGTCCACTATAACCCAAATAGAATCGTAACCATCCTGAGTCTGAGGCAAACCAACAACAAAATCCATAGAGATGCTCTCTCATTTCCACTCTGGTATATCCAATGGCTGAAGTAAACCAGCCGGTTTCTGATGCTCTATTTTAACTTTCTGACATATTAAGCATTTAGATACATACTCCGCAACATCCTTTTTCATGCAAGGCCACCAAAATTTAACTTTCAGATCTTGGTACATTTTTGTAGAACCTGTGTGAATAGCATATTGACCTTTATGTGCCTCAACCATAACCTCCTCTACATTAACTTCTGAGGATCCTGGCATCTCATAACCTGAAATATTTTATCCATACCCATCATACAGGTAGTAACAACATTCGGGTCCTTTGACCCCTGAAATACCGGAGGTTTATGTTTTCTAAAAGAAATGAGTCTCCGCTCTTCAGCAGCACCAGCATCAAACTGCTCAGCAACCCCAGAAGTCTGAGCAATATAAGTAGGATCAACAGTGGGTTGACTAGCCTCACCATAATGATGACTAGCCCCACTCTCCCCCTGCTGGGGTGTAAAAGATGGTGTAGGTGTAGGAGTCACCGTAGCCGTGTGAGGAGGAGAATCATCCCTCCTATGATGAGCACTCTCCGCCCTTATCTCAGTCATGAAGGCCTGCATCATATCCTAATTATTCTTCATCATATTTTCAGTCATTGTTCTGTTAGCAGCCGTCTCCGCCTGCAAAGCATTCAAAACTGCAGTAATAGGATAAGGCGGTGGAGGATCTACACCTCGAGTCCCACAGCCGCCATGAATCCTCCTCATGATAACTGTACATGTAACACAAAGGAATGAGTTGATCATACCCACACTGAGGAATCACATATACATTAATCATAAAGAGTTTACAGACAGCTATGCAAAACCAAATACAGTCATACATAATCAGAGTTCCCTAGTAAACTGCTCTGATACCATAAAATGTAATAGCCCATTGTACACCAGTATTGTTAACATTGATTATGATATTAAGCGCAATTACAGTCACATCAGTTCATTTAAAAATGCAAGTATACTTTTTCCTTTTCATTACGTAAGCATTTAAAACAATAATAAAATGTAATGATAAAAGCTATGATCATAACTGAAATCTAAACGTGGAATAATTAAAATAATTACATAACTATCATATAATGCTTCTCTTAAGTCACTAAGGGGTTCCCATAAATCAACTTAGCATAATTCTCACTTTTACGGTTTTTACAAAACTGAACATGGTTCAGTAATCTAGACATTGCAAGAGATTTAGTGGTTATAAGCCTCTCATATTTTTGTATGTTATTCTAGACTTAATTAATTTCCCAACAAGGTATCACACGCTCCATAAAGTTCTCATTTACTACGGTTATCGCCGTTTGAAGTTGGATAAGCAAAGCTATCAGCCAACCTCAAACAGGGCTCCAAACATCCTCTACCATTTTGGCGATTCTGAACAAACTACTTCACGAATTGCTCTCAGATTTTTATACAGTAAACTAGACACCTTAAGCTTCAATCTGACATATCATGAGCCTAATTTGATCAAAGAATTTGGGGAGACATAAATTTCTCAAAACTGCCACCCGACAGCCCCCAAGTGCAGGGCATTCAGGACAGTTCCCATTCAAACGCCTCTACAGGTCTTCATACAACTCCAATGGTTACCAACTTTTGACACAACATAGTAGACATCTCAACCTTCAAAATGGTGTATGAAAAATCCTTGTTGGACCTCTATGGAGGGAGATATGCTCTCCCAAAGTTCACCCATAAACTATCATTTTATATAAATTTCGACGGCATCTCCTTTGCTTATTCAACCTATCTCATTTTATCAAAAGTGTGTTACTATCATCAAATGGTACCTAATAGACAATGGTGGCACTCAAGGACCAACAATGCCTTGGTGCTCTTACAACCCGTTACAATTTGTATCAATTTCCTCAAGTTACAATTCAATACTTCACTTGTCAAAACTTAAACAATCACATTATTCCATTTGCATGCATTCTTCACATTAAACGTAAATCATATCCTAGAATAGGCCTATTGCCCTTTCATCACATACATGCTTTAAATGTTACACAAGGTCCATAACAATAATATTACAATTCTCCAAATGCTTAACATAAATACAAATAAGTCCTCAAATAAAACATAATGAATCAACAACTAGACTTAGACAAAATATGACATGAACAAATATGACAATATGCATAATCCTAAACCCATATACAATGTTCATGCCCTAAGTCTAACCTATTCCAAAATGGCCTCAAAATGCAAAAAGGTCCTCCAATCTCCAAGTGCTCATCCTATGGGCCTCTTGCCTACGGCTCCAGCCCCACTGCAACTATATGAAATAATGCCCCTAACACGGGGTGAGATATACGAATATATCTCAGTAACCTAGATGTTCTGGAGATTACTCCGCCCAATGGCTCACTCAGATATAAATCAACAATGAACTATAACAACCAAAGAGGGATAAAGCAAGGGATTTAGTGAGGTAGGATGCATAGGGAGTAAAATACGATGAAGCTGGAATGGTCAATGCCAAAGCCACGCAACATCCGGCCTATTGGCTTCAGCATATAGCCTATAGGTTCTCATCCAAGGAAGTTTTCCCAGAACATCAACCAAGGCACCCATCACCAATACACTCGAGACATTCCTAGAGTGCTCCTCAACGGATAACAACTCCATAACCCTAGGTCAACTAGAACTCCCTCACGAAGACCTATCCAGTGGAAGTCCGTAACGCCCGAATGCAACTATCTACTGGCCAGAGACACGATACATCCTATGTACCCAATATATATATACTTATGCATGAGCATGTTATAACACATCATTAATATACACCTCCAACCACTACCCCCAAGGGCATGGTGGAGCACAAACGAGGATTAACCCCAGTACCAAAGGATTACCTTGTTGAAGCCCCCTCTCTACGTAACTCCAATGCAAGGTACAACTGAGCTTGGTCCTACCAGAAATGCCTACACACAGGTCATTCTCATATCAATTATAACCAAATAAAACCCTACACTTTGCTATTCAAGTATTCATGCAATTTACCATAAATACTTACCACAATCCTCTTGGTCAAGGACCACGGGCAATCCACCGAGCTCACTGCTCAAACTCACGTCCGTGGTAGGCAACCTACATTGATCACACAACGATCATCAACACAATGGTACAACCAAATCAAAATACAAAGCACCACACGCTCCCACACACACACACACAGGTTCGGCCACAATGGCAAAAAATGCAAGGTCACGTTGTTAATTTTATTTCAAGGTTCCAATAGCTTCCTAAGCTTACCACAACACCAATTCAAGTCCTTAATCCCATTCAAGTACCATTCGACACCAACTTTCTCAATTTTCCTCTTTTAGGCCAATCCCACACTTAGGCACATCCAAGGGTTTCAATTCCAATCCACATGCATCAAACCAACATAAAACCTATTTAAACTTAGCTTACAACCACACAACACCAGTTACATGATTTTTACATCATCCATCCTTATTTCTCCTCACATGGCCGAATTCTTCATGCATGTATACCAAGGGATTTTTACTTCAATTCAACATTTCCACACATTATACAATCCTATAATTAACTCATACAAATACTCCACAACTCAATTACACAATCCCACAACATTTTCATTTCACAAAGTCATGCATACCAATCATGAAATTGCCTAAGTTATCAAACTTTTCACCAATAATTTTTATGAGCTCAATCACTATAAAACATGATTCTAAGACACTCTTATCTAATACACATTTTCAATTTGAGGTCCCCAACCACATTAATCCATACAAGCATGCTTTAGGATTCATAAGTCAAATCCAACCAATCAACCAATAAAATGTGTTGAAACTTACCCACACAATCAAGGCCTAGGACTCCTCCACACAATACTCAAGCAATAGATGATCAAATAACTCCAAGAACATCAAAATTGTTCACCAAAACCGCGGACATGGGTCCATGTTTTCTCCCAAATTAGTGAGTTTCATGCCTTGAGACTACCATGTTTGTGTTAGAATGCAAACTACTTAAAGTTTGATGTAGTGGAACATTGATTTTGGTGGAGTTTTGATGGAGTTTAGTGGAGATGAAGTTTTCAAACAAAACTTGCACACACCAGGGGGCGCGGTTTTGGAGAGAGGAGAGGTGAGAAAGAACATAAAAAGTGCCTTGTGCCCTTGTGTCAAGTTATAACTTAAGTGAGGTGGGTCCTACTGCCACCTTACGCGATTCAAGTTAATTCAAATCTCCCGCCTAATCCACTAAACGTCTATTAATTCCCAGACCATTTAGAAACTCCAATTTTTAATATTCACCAAAGTCTTTTAATTTTCCTTGATCAGATGAATTCGAAGTTTTTCGGTCGTTCGGTGCAATCACAGTTTTAAGCTGTTATGTGCACTGTGGACACGCTTCCCCAAAAATCCTAATTTCAATCACTTTTCATCAGAAATCATAATTCCCAATCCTATGTACCATTTATAACTTATTTCCAAACCTACAGCTCAAAATTCATTCGGCACGCTTTACGCTGTAACTGTACCGCTGTATTTTTACCCAGTAAAAATACTATTCATCATTTTTTCAGAAACTTGCCTAACCACTCAATTTTTCGTTCTGAATCCATTTTCAGGGTTAGTTTTTCCATTTGAGACCTACTCAAATTTCATTTCCTAGGGTTATGTGTTTGAGAATTTACCGTTTTACCCCTCTAGGTGTTTTGATTCTGAATTCAGAATTTTCACTAATCCCGCCCTTTAATCCTATACTTTAAATATAATTATGTGATTTAGAATTACGATGTGTTATACTCATAATACCGTAATTAACTACTTATAACATCAGCCATTATACCCTTAATAAACATAATAGCAATTTAATTTCATAACTCTCATAAGAAAATCAAGAGACAATTGACTCTTCAACATTTTAAGTGACACAAAAAAATAAATAGACATTTCAGCATTTATACACAACATCAAAACTCAAAATGTATATTTTGTACCCAACCTTTATATACAAACGTAAACTTCCTATAACTATTGTAACAACCCGTTACGTACTGGTATTGTTAACATTAATTATGATATTAAGCGCAGTTACAATCACAGCAATTCATTTATAAAAAATACGAATAAACTTTTTCCGATTATTACGCGAGCATTTAAAACAATAAAACGCGTAATAATTAAAAGCTATGACAATAACTGTTAACTCTTGCAGAATATTTATTTTATCTATTTTTACATCACAATATACTTATTATAAGTTACTAAGGGGTTCCCATAAACTCACTTAGCCAATTACCAAACTTTACGTTTTTACGTATTCGAACATGGTTCACTCCTAAATTTTCTGCGTACACACCGCTCACAACCAGACCTGATTCTCGGGTTATATCTTTGTCTTACTTAATTCCCTTTTTAACAAGCTACCACACGCTCAATTCGGAGCTCATTTGCTCCGGTTATCGCCGTTTGAAGTTGGATAAGCGAAATAGCCAACCAACCCCAAAACAACTCTAAACCTCTCTCACTCCACGAATTACTGCACTAAATCCACTCATCCAATTGCTCGCAAATTTTTACACCATAAACTAGACACCTCAATCTTCGATTTGATATATCATACGCTTAATTTGACTGAGAAACGAAGCAGGAATAAATTTCCCAAAAACTGGCCAGAACAGCCCCTGCATCATAGCTCCCTGGACAGTCCGAACTCAATAAATTCCACAGGGATGCATACAAGCCAGAACTGGGTCATATTTTAACACCATGTAGGGGATATCTCAAGCTTCAAAATGGCGTATGGAACGTCCCTATCGGACATCTGTAGAGGGAGACATGCTCTCCCGAAGTTCACCTAAAATCTGCCAATTCTACAGAAAATTCGCCAGAGTTTCCTTTGTTTTTCCAATAATCCCCAAATTTGTACAAGCTCACTAATGCCTCAAAGTACCTAATAATCCAACAATAATACAGTAATAATCCAATGGGTGACACACACAAGGACCAACAACGCCTTGGGACACTTACAACCCAATCCAGTTTATAGTTATTAGGCAGTTTATACTATAGAGCTCACATTATATTCCTTACTTGTTTCAATCACAAAGGTCTCATTTACATGTAGTTTCACAATATAAGCATATAATCATAACTCTAACATAGGCCTAAAATCCTTCCATTTTAGTACATCATGCATCTCTTTTACATTTACAACATATACTTAAATATTACAACTTACGACTTCAACTTCAAATTACCCTTTACAATATTACAACTCTAATTACAAATTTAAACATAAATTCAAATGATACAAACTACTAGACCTAGGCATGCCAACATGAACAATATGCCAAATACTGAAAATGTTCCTCTATCACTCTGCGGGCCTCTTGCCCGCTGCTCAAACGCCACAGGTACATCCTGAAATAAATGCCCCGAGACGGGGTGAGATATACGAATATATCTCAGTAACCCAGAGGTTCTGGAGAAAACTCCGCCCAATGGTTCACTTCGATGCATATGAATAGAATACAACAACCAATTTTTAAAACGGGATATAGCAAGGGTTTTAGAGAAATGGGGAATATAGAGATACAAACTACGATGATACGAGATGGTAACCCCAATTCCACGTACGCCCTGGGCATATATAAGCCTATGGGTATCATCCAAGGTGCGTTCAAAAAAACCACAACCATGATGCCCCAACCATCCAAAACGCCAAAGACATTCCTAGTGTGCTCCTACCCGGATCACACACCATGACCCACGGTCAACTGGAACTCCCTCTCGGAGACCTATCCAGTGGAAGTCCGAAATTGCCCGAAGGCTAATAAAACTGTCTACTGGCCAGAGACTCGGTACATAAGTACCCATTGTAATAATGCATGCATGCTAATGTGTTCTACACTACTCATATACACTTCCTACCGTTGCCATCAACTGGCAAGGTGGAACAGAAAAGGGGAACAAGCCCCAGTACCAAGAGGTTACCTTAAACAGTTTTCTCACTTAGCTCCGCAGCAGCTTAAGTTCCAAGTCTGCTACTCAACAGAACGCCTACACATAGGACGTTCCCACTTACTCAAAGTTCACAAAATGCATGCCAAATCTCAATTTCACATGCATAATACAATCACTTACCTCAATCCACTTGGTCCAGGACCAAGGGCAATTCACTGATTCACTGTTCAGGATTCAATTCGACGTACGACAACCTATACAACCATGTACAGCCGTCAGTATACGTCAATTTACGTCAAAACGCAAAAAAAACACAAAAATCCTTCCCATCACCATGATGGTTCGGCCCTTGTAGTGTTATTTTAGGATTTATTTTTCTAAATTTTCTTTCTCATTTTATTATGCTTCCTTAGGTTGCCAAGAGGCCAATTCAAGTGCCGTTTTTCCGTTTTACGTCTTTTACTCATCGTTTTGCTAAATAATTCACTCTAGGTTCATTTTTGTCCCTAAACACAAGTTATTATTTTTCATTGATTCTAACACTTTCCAACCACCACACAACCCATCTAAGTACCATATAACTACTCAAATCATCATCCAAATCATCTTTCAACATCAATTCACTCATTTTTCCTTTAAAGGCCAAGTTGTGACCTAGAGCATTCCAATGATTTCCTCTCAATTTTAATCACTCCAACCCTCACACAATCCATTATATCATCATACAATCATACCACAATTCACCAAACAAAGCCTCAACACAAAACTCAAAAGTCCAAAGTCATGACCTCAAAATCCACTAAGTTAAATATCATCAATTTTCACTTCAAATTTTCATTGCATTTCTAGTTTTAATACATCATTCTAAGGCATTATCATCTAATACACATTTTTCAATTGAGCTCTCTAACATCACATATCAACCATGCAAGGTCTAGGGTTCAAGATTCAAATCATCACATTCAATCAATTAAAATGCAAGAACACTCACCCAAATGGAAGGTACAAGGCTCCTCCTAAACATACTCCACCATTGGAGCACCTAGAAGCTCCATGAACACAAATCTCCAAGCTTGAGCTGCGGCCTTGAGGAGGGATTTTCCCAAAATATAGCTGGATTCAAGGCTTGCCACTAGTGCCAAT